AAACGATACGAGAAGTGTTCGAAATTTGAGAAAAGTTGTTTTCAAAAGTGAATAAAGTGGCTTTGAATTTTATTTTTTAACAAGTTTAGATAAACATCATAAATCTTTGCGTTATAATTAGAAGATTATTTTCGGCAAATCTCGAGAAAAGACGGGATAATATTTGTATTTGTTGTGACTCATAATGTGAGTACTGAACATTTCTGGATCAGTATAGCAGTGGGAGATTAAACAAAAAATCCAATGATTGTGAAACAAATCCTCTCTCAAGATCATAAATTTCACAGATTGTGTGTCAAACTGAACTTAACATAGCTTCTTTCACTCGAACAAATATATTTTATTGATGTATAAATATACAATATATTTCTCAAAATATCCCAAAATCAAAATTCATTTCAAATTATCACTTTAAAATTTATTATTAATACAAAAAATGTCTAAAATTATTTCTTCTAGAAAAAAATCCCATCATTTCGTGAGATTAATCTCTTAAAAAATTCACTATCCCGAATCAATTATCACTTATCTATTTCTCAAAATACTCACTGCTCCAACATTTCTTGAAAATGTTTAAAAAATCCTCTCCATATTCGTTTTCCAAATTGATTAACCGGTTCCCTTCCTGATAGAATAAATCCTTCCTGATAGAATGGGCGAATTCAGAGATTATAAAAATAGAGAAGGGAAAAATCGGAGCTGGCCACGAAGGACGAGAATATCGTTGTACGTGTATCTACGCGGTCAATGAGCTAATTGCCGTGGTATATCAATTTTCATTGGGCGCAATTGCACAAGTACACATAGCGGTTGCACTTGTGTCGGCTCAAACAGGATACGGCATAGTTTCCCTTTGTGCAGATTCATTGTCTTGTTTTCGCGTTTTCCATTGGTCCCCTCGTTAACGGAGCGGCCAATGCGTGGCTGGATCCTCGATATTTAAATTGGCCGTGCCGTGTGCGGGGTGGAGAAATGGAAGAAGAAAGAAATGTGAGACCGTGCACGAATGTCGCCCGCGTACCTTTGTTCCGCTCGGGATTTAAATGAGGTTGAAAGGTTACCGGACGGGAAATGGCGTTTCCTTTTCGTTTGCCACGATTCCATTATTTTCTGAATTTTTTTTTACATCACAATAAAAAATTTACTTCGTTGTTGGTATGTTGGGTACGTATGAAGTGTCTGAATATTCCAGGAATGGTTCGAATAGGTTTGGAGTTCGAAAGGGGGGTTGGAAGATCGACGAGAATTCGAATGTTTGATAAATTTTGGAGAAATATTAATTCTGAAACAAGAAATTTTTTAAATTAGTTTCGAATGTAGAGAATTTAAAATATATTCGAGATCCAGAATGGAGGTTTATATTTTGAAACGAATGCACACAATTAATTTATTTTGAAATCTAAAATTATCGATAAGGTATGCACTTGTTTCAAAAAAAGAAAGAAAAAAAATCGACCGTGATAGTCGGTAATCTTCTAAAACAAATATTTTCCTCTTCTGAGGCTCTATCGAGCCAATAGGGCCAATGTTAACCGAATCACGAAACGTACAAATAAATGAAATCTCATTGTCAGAGTCAATTGCTCTTGGCAACCATTAATGCACGACGATGTTAAAGGCTATGTCCCAGTTTCCCTATTTCCCCCTTCATCGAAACTAATTTTCTTTACTTCTTGGATCGTGTCCGATCAATTTGAACGGAATGAAACTTCATTTCTTTTGAACAATTTTGAGAACAATTTTTTCTTACAGTTAGAAAACAACTATTTCGGTCGAACATCGTCGCGTTCTCCACGTTCTTTTTGAGAGGTCGAGATTGGAGGAACGCGCTAAAAAAAGAGCAACCTTAGAGATTTGTCTGGTGCACGATGAAAAGGACGAATGCTTTACGTCTGTTGATTACGCAATGGAAAATTTGGAAAAAATGGAATATAAATGGCGTCATATTTTTCATATCTGTTAAAAATTTAATACAGAATCAGTTTGGAACTTTTAATATCGAATCGTTGAAATACATTTATAGAAATAAATTAGTCTGCGAATTGTTAAATAAAATGAAATAATTCTGAAAATATAGGATAGCTTATTGAGATTAAGGATAAAATTAAATGTCTTGTCCCAATTTGTTAGAAAAAAATCTCGTAAAGTATATGTAACGTAATTAAACTCAATTAACGAAACGAATTTAAATATTCGAATTAGGTCAGTGTCGTGAGAATATTTCAACACTCGAAGTAACGAAATAAATTTTTGCCTGAACTGTATATCGCAGATAACACTAACAGCTTAATCTCAAACTCTATTTCAAAACCAGACATAGATGCATACATTAATCTTCAAAGGCCCAACATTATTTTTTTTCACTTCGTATCTTCTCTAGTATATATTTGCAAAATCTCTAAAGGCGAAAAGTCGTGTTGATATTCGAATTATCTATGCTTTCATATTAAACTGTTCTCAATTTCATCAAATATATATATATCGACAAATAAAACACTCAAAATACACAAGTTTCTCAATATTTTGACAAATTTTTTCAAAATTTCATATAAATCCTACTTAAATCCACAATTTTTAATTCCTTTAAATATCTTTTAATAAATTATTCAAAGATCAAATTGATCGGCTTCACATGATAAAAAATTCTCAAGTTTTATCATCAAAGTATAATTTCTCAGAAATGGAATGATTAGCTTCAATAAAACTGATCATTAATCATCTAAGTGAATACATCTAAAAGGACATATTTATTACAATATTGCCTCTTACATTTATAACGTTGCATTTTATATCCCTTGGTTTATCTAGATGCTCTTTTTCGATTATGCACAGTCAAATAAATATGCGGAGCTCTGATAACAAAGGTCGCGGCCATCGAAGTTCATCATTGGCTGACAATACTACAGTACACGATTCTTCGCTTTTAGACCAGTTCGATACTCGTCGCGTGTGCAACACCTCGAAACATAGCTTAATTCCTTTCCTATTCAACCGTTTGATCAAACATTCTCAAACTGCATATAAACATATTCCATATCAATTCCAATATATCAAAAATTCTTCCATTTGGTATATTATATCAAACCTCCCTTCTTAATCAGAAATTTAAAAAAAAAAATATCCTTATTCATTTGCGATTGAAAAAATTCAATTAAAAATAATTTTTCAACCGCTTTTTATAATCACTTGTCAATCATTCCCAAGACGTTTGAAACAATCGTCGCTTTTATTATAATTCGAAGATGAAAGTGTTTCTAGATCGTCGCTGACAGTTTCTTTCGAAATCGGTGTTTCGAAATCGTTTAGGTGGAAACGTTGATCATCGTTGTCGTCGCGATGAATGAAAAATTTTCATCGAACGGATGGCGAGGAGAAGGATGGAACAAATCTGTATTTGTGGACGTTGAATAATGTGCCGCGAAAGTGTAACATGCGATCGACACAACGTGTCGTCCACAGTTTGTTTCTCTGTAGTGATATGACGGAAAAAATGAAGTTGAACGAAACGAGAGTGTGGTGAGTGTGAAACGAAAATGGTGAGCACCAATCCATCCTTAGGGGTGGTCACTCTGAACAGAGAAAGGAACACTTTCCGCGGTGTGCCCAAGGCGGAAATCGAGCGCAGAACGAACACGCTTCTCCAGGCTATGACGGTGAGTCGATTTGGAAAATATGACGTTGAAAATGATTGAAAATCTGTGTAAATCAACGTATGATATTCAACGCAATTCTTTTTCTTTTTCGAATCATTGTGAGTTCGTTTGATTGTTATATCCATAGTAATAATTAATTCAATTTCGTCTTCTTTTCCATAAACATTGTTTATCTTAAACAAAATTTTTAAAGCTTCGTAAATAATTTTGTAAATTTTAGTGTGCAAGATATAATTGATAATATCGAAATGTTTTAAACTTTGCGAATAGAGATCATAAAAATGATGATTTAATTCTGCAAAGAGAAATATTAAACTTTGTAATTATTGAATACAAGAACAAAATGTTTCCACGTTCTGGACTTTTATATAAAAAATTGTCGAGATAATGTAACGTTAAACTTATTCGCAATTCATTGTTCGAAATCTGAATTATTTGAAAGCAAGCGAGTAAACAAAATTATCCGAACAATATCTGTTCTGTTCACCAGCCAGTCGTTTGATTAAGACATGCCTTAATGTATCCGACAAAAGAACTTTGAACCGTGGGTATCGTGGCGATTCTACAAACATACTTGCAGCTAAAATCTGCTCGCATATGTTTTATCAGAGTGTCTTGCGACTAGCAGATGCTTTATGTATGACGTAAACCTATTGCTCTTTGTTTATGAATAATTTAATTACCAATATTAGAGAGAGGAGGAAGTGGAAGATTGTTTAAAAATATCCAAGATTTATTTAAATAATAAAGAAATAATTTTTTTTTAGAATTTAATGAACGTTTCATTAATGACAAGTTTGATAAAATATATACACCTTATCTCTTTTTATTTTTATTCGATTATATCATCGTTTGAATCATTACATACATAATACATTTACATAAAATATAACGAAATTTAATCATTTAATTGAATGAAAGAAGAAACTTATATTTCTTTATTTTCAAATTTTTGTAATATATTTAAAGAAAATTCGATAAAAATGTGTCTTCTTTTATGGCCAATTCAGATTATTAATTGTTATAAAAAAATAAGTTAATTTACTATCCATAGATCGAAGAACTCTATGCTGCCCTAGTTTTTATGACCCAGCATCAAATAGGCTACGACGTATCCAACGAGTGCAAACTGGAGACTCTCTTGAACCATCTTCAAAATGCGTTCAAAGTCGACAATGATGTGCACGAGAGAGTTCTGGACGAGACTAGAAACATGGAGGTGAGACTAGAAAATATCCAAAAAGAGTTTTCGACGTTTCTATTTAAATTAAAATTAATACAACGCGATTTAAATAGCCACCGGAAATGCACTTGTGCGTCGAAGTGATCGAAGCCAAAGAACTCGTGTCCAAAGACGCCAATGGCAAAAGCGACCCTTTCTGCGCCCTTTACTTAGAATCAGCTCCCACGAGGAGGTACAACACTGCCGTAAAAACGTCCACCCTCAGCCCTGTTTGGGAGGAACACTTCGAACTGTGAGTTGAAACCCAAGTCAAAAAGATCATTGAAAAATTTGAATCAATTATTTTTATATAAATAAAAATAATTTCAATTATTTTTCTAGTCCCCTGGAGGATCCAGAGAATGACGTACTATTTCTAGAAGTGTGGTAAGTTGAAAAGCTGTATTACTTGATAATGATGATGTCAATTTTTAGATAAGGTGAAATATATGTATATATTTTATTTAATTTAATTTAAGGGATTTTGACGCTGCTGAAACAGTTCCTGAAAAAATGAGTAAAGTGAAAGATGTAAAGGGTGTTAGAGGGTTGGTGAAATTAGCGAAGGAGATTGCGGTCACAGCCACGACTGGCAGCCACGATAACGAATTCATCGGTCGCTGTAGAATACCTCTTAAAGTAAATGAATAAAAACGATCTATTACATTTTTATCTAGCTTTCCTTCATCCTTATATCCTAAATTTTAACAGTTATAAAGACTATATAAACTTTTAAACATTCTCTGAATAAATTCCTTCTATTAAACCACGAATATTTAATCAAAACTTTATATTTCTTTTTCTAAGATTCTCCTATGAGAAAAGTTTCAAAAATTAGAAGTTATTAAGAAAATTTAGAAAAAGAAGAAGTTTCAATCAATTAATTTTAATTTGCATTTTACAGGATATACCGACGACAGGCCACACAATGTGGTATTCCCTCGAGAAGAGGAACAAACCAAAGAGACGCGGTGTGGTGAAACTGAGGTTGGCCTTCAGTGCGGAGCACAATGCATTGGTGGCCGCCCAAGAGCACAGACACCTGATCAGAGTGCTATTGTTGTACGAATTAGAGACGGAGAAAATAGAGAAATACTGTTGGAGTGGGCGATGGTCGGCACCCGCGGAAGTTCTTCTTCTTCAGCACAGCGCGCAACGCGGTTTGCTGGCTAGAAACGTGACGCTTGCTCAATGGATAGAATACGCGAGGATTCATCAGGAGCATCCCCTCAACTTCACCGTGTTCAATAAATTGGTGGTCGATCTATTGAGGCCTATGGAGAACGGTCTCTTCTCCCCAGATGAAACCAGATTGTTTTGGGACGCTACGAAAAAATTGTTGTACTCTTGTCTTAACAGTATTCGCAAGATCAGGAGGTTCACGGTTGGCGATAAGAATGCTATGGCACAATTGTCCGCCATTTTGGGGTAATTATCGTTGAAGCGTGTGTATTTTGAATTTCGAATTCCTGTCTTAATTAATTGGAATTAAGAGAGAAATATTTAGAAAGTGTTTTAAAATTTTTTCAAAGAGTTTTATATGCTTTGATTGAATTTGATTTATTTGTAACAAGGATGGTAACAACTTCAATTCTTTTCGATATTTTAAAATACGAGAAAGAATTTCGAAAATGCAGTGCTCGAAAAGAATTTGAATGGAAATTTTTATATGCTATATAGAATACTTTCATCCCTTTCGTCCCTTAAAGTTCCCGAGGACGTGAATCTGTTTCCTGGAAAGATGTACCCTTGGTTCCCAGACTCTGATGAGAAATTAAGTATCGTTCAAGCTTTGGATTACACGGTTGAACAGGGTGGTATTGAATGGTAGATATCTTTTAAATATGAATGGAACTTCTTAAATTAATTAAACAGAGAGAAATAAATATTACGTTATTTTAGGTTCGATCACATATTGAATAATAATTATCCAGAAAGCGAATCGGACGAAGATTCGTTAAAGTATCATATCAAAGTGATTCAACTGGTCAGAGCAGATTTACAAAATGCTATCGATAATTACGATAAATTGTTTATCAAGTAAGTTTAACGAATCTTTTTAATTTTTTAAAAAATTATCCAACACTGCTTAAAATTAATTTTAATTTTATAATTTCAGACGAATCAATTTCCCCTACGCTAGGTGTTTGTACGTGATGTACGAAAAGAGGGTCAGCGGCTTGTGCAGGATTATCGTACAAGATGTTTGTAGTAGAATGAAGAGGATCGAACTTGAAAACACTGATGTCGAGTTGAATTTGGGAACGACATTGTTCGAATTGTATCTCACGTTGCAGAGATTCGCTATGTAAGTGTATTAATATATATTAATCATTAAAGAAAGGAATGAAGTAATTGAATAAATAAAATAATGGCACAAATAAATGTAACAAACTTCCTGTCAAAAAATATCGAAACGCATAGATTTTTGAAAATTCTCACAGAAAGAAATTAATTACTTTTAGGCTTGGACAAGTGCTGTGCGCTGAAGGACAGTTGGAAAGAATGGAAGTGCAAAATTATCACGATTGGTTCAGAGCTGGCGTGGCACACTGGCTCGATATAGCTGTGTACAAAGCTTTGAAACGAATTGATAGAGCCGTAGAATTCGACACCCTCCAAGCAGTTGATAACACCGTCCAATACAGCTCGAGTGCTGTGGACACGTTAACGATATTCTATCAAATCAAAGTTTTCTGGACGCAGCTTGCGTGGCCGGACATGGAGGGCTCCTACACTTTCGTAGCTAAAATTATTGATGTAAGTTCTGAATTTTTAACAATCATGGAAACAATAAATAAATTTAAAACCAATTTGAATCTGAAAAAAGAAAAAGATTATACAATAACATTTTCTTCTTCCACCTTAGTTCTTACAATTTTTCTTTTTTTTCTTTCATTTCTATGATAATTAAAGTTTATATAAAAAAGTTATATGACTGCTTACCAGTCCACACAACTTTGCAGAGTTTGTTCTCAGTAATTGTTAATATTCTATTTAAATTTTTCAGGACATCTGCAAATGTTCAATAGCGTATGCAGACAAGATGGCGAAGAAGGCAGAACTGACCACGGAATTGGAACAATTGTCGGAGGGCAGTGTATACGAGAAGAAATTTTACGTGTCGACAGCGTGGTGTTTCGCCATAAACAATATTGATTACATCAAAACATCGATCGGGCCATTGGCCCACGATCTAGGATTCCAAAGTATCGTGGACGCGTTCGCAGAGAAGAAAACCCAACAAGAGGCGGACAGGTGTCAACAGACGCTCCAATTGATCATTGACAACGCGACCGATACTGTTAAGAATAAAATTATAGAATTATTACAGGTTGTCGCCAATAAAATGTCCCCTGCCATGAACAGGTAATTGTCTCATATTTTTTCAATCATCCTCTTATTCATTCATAAATAAATAAAATAGTTAGTAACAATATTCTAAATTAAGATAATAGATGAAAATTGTAAAACTTATATTTGAAATTAAAATTCAATCATCCTCTTATTCATTCATAAATAAATAAAATAATTAGTAATAATATTCTAAATTAATTTTCATAGATGAAAATTATAAAACTTATATTTGAAATTAAAATTAAAAATTTTTGATTGAAGGTTTCTCATGGAGGGTGCAGAGTTGATAGACACCACCAGCAATTCCATGGATCGACTTTTACAATATTTAGACACGAATCTAACAACGTTGCACGACAATCTCAACGAAGACAATTTCGAGAGAATCTTGTTCGTTATTTGGGACATATTGTCAGAAAGTTTGTACCAATTAGTGCATAATAATTTGGAGGTACGTTATAGAAACGTATAATATTCTTTCACTCTCTGCTCTTTTCCAATTTTTCCAAACAATTTCAATTGTCACAGAAAAGGAGACCACCATCGTTCTATTCGAACCTTCATCGCACACTGCACACCCTTATTCGATACTTTAATATCGGAGCTGACGAGGCAGCAAACGTTAAGGTGTTGGAGAAGATCGAGCACCTTTTGGAGCTTCATGGCCTCGAGACAGCCGAGTTGATACATCGTTACCACCAAGAGCGAATAAAAGAGCAAAATGAGTTGGAAGAATCCGAATACGGGCAGATCACCGTGAAGGCGCAATTCGTGGATAACTCGTTGAATATTCAAATCTTGAACGCGAGGAAACTGCGACCTGTTGACAGTAATGGTAAGAAAAGGAAGATCGTGGAAATTTTTGTGTACGAAAAATATTTGGATACGAAATTGTAACTTATTTAGAGGTATCTTATTGCTAGAAATGAAATTTTAGGTTATAGATAGTTCTTTTTTATTTCGATCTTTGTTGCGAGTGATTCAGATGAAACGAAGGATGTGCAATTACTTTTTTTTGACGATTTACGAATGATTAGAAAATTTCTCAATTTTTTTTTCCATTTCATATCAAATTGATGTAACGAATAATCGCATTATCCGACGAGAATCACTCGGATTATTGTATTTTGTTAATGATTAGAAAGAGAATCGAAATTGCACACAACGCCAATTGCATAATTAAAGCGAAAGTTTCATTTCCTAGCCTGTTAATTTGTTGTTTCGTTTGCTTGTCGAAGGGTATTAGGGGTTGGTCTCGCGATAAGAAGAATGATATTTTATTTCGATTTTGTAGGCGATTTGGTAGGCAAGGTGTCTACTCTCAAACGCAAGCTTCATACAAAATCTAAACAAAGACAGAAAGAATGGAAGACAAGTATGTAAATGTGGATGTAAAACAAAACAAAAAAAAAAAAGACGCTCTTCCTCATCACTCTTTCAATTAGAACATGTCTCATCCGGTTGCTTGCCCTCGTGACAATTAAAATTATCAAATTTGCATGCGAATTTAGCCGACCAAATTGTCGAATTATTTTTGTTTTCTGTTATTGTGTATTATTCGTAGTTAGAGAATGTAAGAATATCTTAGAACGTCAAACAATTTTCCTCACTTATGATGGAATGATGCAAATCTCTATAAGGTTCCAAATTATAACATGAAAATTGATTTTCAATCCTTCCAAGAGGGATAAATTAATTTCCTCGAAGTTAAATTATTTTCCAATAATTTCTTCTTTTGTGAAATGATATTCTTTTAATATTCAATAAAATTAAAAATATAAAGGAAACATTTAAGATAAAATTTTCGATAGAATGTTAAATTTAAAATCTGTAAGGTACTTAACGATCTCTCTTGAATCTTCACAAGAATTTCCAGAATTCGTGAATTAATAAATTCAATATCATTGTAAAAAAAATATGATTTTTTAAATGTAATTATTATGGAATGTTACATTGGAAAATGTGGAACCTCATAGATAAAGAATAAAAAAAAATAGTCACCTTCATCGTGCATGAACCCACATTGGGGTGTTATTGGTACTCGAAGAGATCGCAATGGAAATATTTTTCCTTCTATTTTTCCAGGTAGTTGCGATTCGTACGTGAAAGTGAGACTTCTTCCGGAGGAAAAATTCACCGACGTGAAATTACCTAAAACTCATGTGCAAAAGGAGAATTTGTACCCCCTGTACGATGAAATTTTCAACATGTAAGTAATAATCCAATCTTTCTTCAATTATCCAGAATATAGATGAAAACTTATACGAAATGTAAAAGAAAATATCTATAATTATATCTAAATTGCATAACTTTATATTATTTTTTTAGTCCTCTGACCAGCGAGCAAAGAGCTACAGAAAACGCGATCGTAGCGTTCGAACTGAAAGACAAGGACTTTCTAAGATCGAGATTCATGGCGGAAGCTTTCCTTCCGTTCAGTGAAATTCCTGAA